TCTCCCATAGTCCCCCTCCCAGCACTGTTGCCGCCTGCCCTCAGCCCAGTGCCTGCCTGCTGCGTGCCCCCCACCCCCCCACAGTGGCAGCTCATCTGCACCCTGTGTGCAGATTTGGGGCATGTGCACTCCTGGGCTATGTGTAGTGGCAGAAGCTGTCCCCTGTGCCACCCCTAGACAAACGGCTCATGGCTCCGTGCCATGCCCTGCCCCAGCTGTGCAGCGCCTCCCTGTGCCCCAGCCCTACTCCCTCCCTCACCATGGGGGCCTCGATCTGCTTGTCCCTTCCCCCACAACAGACTTATCAGCCGGATGCTGCTCTCTCTCCACGTTGCCCGGCTGCACATCAGAATTGGATTTGTATGGGCTGATATGGCTTGCTAAAAATCAGCCATTGGTATCATCCCAAAAAATCTGTTGGTGCACCCCTATCTACAACAAATGAAGGTGTGATTGTAGCACATGTTAGCACACCTATGCTAGCTTAAACCTGGCTAGCCTGGGTTACACTACCAGCAAGCAAATGGTCGTGTGGACAAGCAGCCAGAGTACAAGCACTCCAGGGACCCTGAGCATGTGTTGTGGTAGTTAGTCTGTGCTGCTGCATCTTTCCTGCCATTATCTATGCTAGCTAGAGGGAAACTAATGCACGCTACAGTCATACCTGCATTTTCCCAAGGACACAATTCCCAGTGACGCTAGCATCCATTCTTCCTAGAGAAGGAGGGAAGGAATGCAGATTAGCTTGCTTGTTTGCTTCAAGAGCACTCTGTGTTGGTTGACATAAGTGTTTAAGGAGGGAGGTGGCCTGGGGTACTGATATGAATATTCTAGCTCCATCTCTATAGTTAAAAATTCAGACGTGTTTCTTAGTTGTAGGGTGAATGAGGTAATCTTCGCACTTGAACTCTTCTTCCCTGCTAATTCCTGTTTGTCTTGAGTGTTTTCTGAGAAAAATCTGACACTTCCTTTTCTCTCTAGAAAGCTCCAACAAGGAACAAACTGCAGCGAAACCATTGCCTCTGATTTCTGAACACTGCACTACAGGACATCAAGATGTCGGGGGCTTCTGTGAAGGTGGCTGTTCGGGTCAGGCCCTTCAATTCCCGAGAGACCAGCAAAGAATCCAAATGTATCATCCAGATGCAAGGCAACTCGACCAGTAAGTTGATTCTCCTCTCCTAATGGAGTCTGTCTGTCTGTGTTTCCTCTCTTTTGGTCCATTTTTGATTGGCATAAACTGATGGTTGTGCACATTATGTCATCTGGAATTACCCTTTCAGGGAGCTCTCTTCCTTTTTTTTTGAGGCTGACAGATAACTTCAGGCAAATAAAAAATAAGCAAGTTAAGTCCTGGGTATGTGGATCTTGCTGCAGGTGCAGCTACTGCTTTCTGAGTTGAGAGCACAGGGAATGGTTTGGGCTGCAGCAGGTTGCCATGTGGGGCTTGCTGTAGTGTTACTGCATGCTCAGTCCTGCTAGTTTTCTTTGGTGGAATCGAATCTGTGGTTACTGTGAGTTAAGAAGCAGTAGCTGGTTGGGCCAGCCTGGGGAAAAATGCTGTCTCTCCGTATCGGACACCAGGAGGACTCTTATTTCTGGTTTTGCTGTACTTTAGTCCATGGTAAACCCTGGAGTTATTAAATCATGAGTTGGAGCAGGTCTCCTTCGGTGACTGGCTGTCTTAAGTGAGTGAGGGGTGAAAAATCCCAGAAACCTAAGCCTGGGCATACCGTTAGTCAAATGAGGTGTTACCTGGTCCTGGAGCCTAAAGTTATCTGGACTCCATCTTTTCCGTGGAGATTCTCATTCCTGGCGCATGGACTGAGATGACACAGAGTGGGCAGATCAGATAACCGAGGGCTGGTATGAGGCCTTGTTTGAGCTAAGAACAAAACCCAGGGCTACCCCTTTTATAGCACTGAATTGTCATCACGTTAAGTACTTAGCTGAGAATATTAGTTTCTTCCCTCATTGAGTGTCCCTGAGTGTGGGGGCTAATAGCCCACACGAGTGTTTCTTTTGTTATACATCTTAGTTGGTTATATGCTCATGTACCGTTAATACATCTGAATGTGTAATAACAGGAGCTTGTTCTTCTTGAGTCCAGCTCTTCTTTCAGGCACATCCTACAGGGAAGTTTTAAACTGTGTGGCAGTCGCCTACTCTGATACAAATAGTTGTGGCATTGCGAGAAGATATGGGTCACATGGAGCCCTAATCTCAAAACAGATGCCTGTTTACAGCTATAATAGGAGATGCTAGGAGGAGAAACCAAGTCAAGTTTAGAGTGGTGGATTTGAAATTTCCTCTAAAAAATAAAGAACTCTGGGACTTAACCTATTGTAGATATAGGCTGTACTTCAAATGAAGACGAATTATCGTTATCAGTATTTTCTGGTTTAAACGGATCTTTTATCTCACGTTTGCCTGCCAAGTGTTAGCTCAGTGCAGCATAAAATAGGAGAACTGTTAAGTGCCATCTAATGGCACTTATAATGGAAATGCCCACAGGTTAGCATAGGTTTTTGCTTGCTGCTGGGGTGACTGGACAGCGGTAATTTCATAGGTAAGATCTAATCTAAGACTGAAAACAGCTCCTTTGGTCCAGTGACAAGGTTGCCTGGTTTATCTCTGGCAGACCATCTGTTAGCTGATCTGAGGTGGAATGCAGGCTCTGGGTCACCTTGCTAAACAGTGTCAGGTACTAAAAGGCTTGCAGAAACAGAGTGAAAATTTAAAATAAGTAAATCAATAAATAAGAAGGTTTGGGGAAATTTTCTGGTTTAACATGGGTGGCACTGCCTGTGCATCTTCTTGCTGCCTTGTCTTCCCTGTAAATGCTCTAATCTGCAGCCTTCTGTTGGAGTCTCATGGCACTTGCACAAGCTGGCTTAGATGGCAGATGGTCAGGTTTAACTCACTGGGGCCATTTGAGTCTGTAGGAAAAGATTTTTCAGTTGCAGAGACTCTGGGGTCCCTGCAGTCTGAGAGCTCTTTCCACCTCCACTCCTCCATATATGCCTATTAGAAAAGAAATATGCCAAGAATCTGAAGAGAGAAAAGGCATGTTCTTGAATGCCTAGAGCAGGCTCACAAGGTGATAAAATGTTCAGAGAAGTGTCTCTAGTGGGTTATGGAATAGAGAAAGATCTCTCAGAATTTACTGATTTGTTTGATGCACCTGGCTGGGGGAGTATTTGGTTGATTGCACAATTTCACAATGATTGCAGACTTAATTCATACAACACAATTTTATTTTAAAATTCCTTGCTACACACATAACAGTGCTTAGCTTTAAGAAAAACCACAAACATTAAAAACACAACAACTACATATATTAGAAACAATGCTCCAAACGCACTTCCTTCCCAAACAGTGCTATAAGAATTAGTATTACAAAAACAACTACAATTACAAATAAAGGTTATTTCTCATGGTGTACTTAGAATACTAGAATTCCTAGACACCAAATCCCCAAGGATACTTTTATTCTTTAGTTATGGTTTTAGGGTTGGTCTCAGCAGTGATAGGAACAAGTCCCCTTCCTTCGGTCCCCTTCGGGCACTCCGTGGCTTCAGCGTGAACGGGAGTTCTTGTTCACGGAGAGGGTGGTTCAGGGGATCAGTCTGATCCGGCCTACACTTCGATTTTTCCTTTGGTGTTCTGCAAGTGAGGTTACCTCCAAATTGCGACTGTAGGTTACAGTTTTTATTGGGTGAGTTGCCATCTTGGGCCCCTCCTACCCAGACCTGTCACAACTCCCAGATTTGGGCTCGGATCTTTTACCCAACAGATTCCTTTCCTGGGTCATCTTTGGGGAATTTTCAACATCGCCGCTGTGACCTCTTGCCAGCCCCTTTACAAAAGTCCCTAGGTTTTGATCTCTCGGAGTGTTTACCTAAGGGTCGCTTTTAAGTTAACTTTGTTAAAGGCCTCTAGACATAATATTCAAAACCCAAGACATTCAGCACGTTCGCTGCAAGGTCTCTAAAGATAAAATTCAGAATCAAGACATTTACCACGTAGGCAAAAACAAGCAATGACACTAGATAAAAAGATGAACCTTGCCTTTTTTTCTAACCTGGCTAATCGGTATTTATTACAAGCGTTCAAACTATTACGTGCAATACGACGAGAAGGGAAGGGGTGGGACATGACGCTTCCTGCTGAGCTCATTGTCTGAAGCTAGGGAGCTTTTGTCTGACTGACCAAGTTGAATTTACGTTTTTGTGTGTGCGCCAAGAGCTGGAACATTAATTCTTGGGGGGGTGGGGCAAAGGGAGGGCAGTGCCAGAACTCCTGGTGTGTGTCCACACAAGTGTACACGTGTGCTTTGTGGTGCCTCGAAGGCTTTTGAGGTGCTGCAAAACTCACCCCACACACACGATTTGGTTTTCTCCGCTGCATATTTGCAAAATATAAACTTGCATCTCAGAATCTGACTTGTAGGAACAGCAACAAAGAATTTCTCCTGTCTTGTATAGCGGCTTTGTCTGCCGCTTGGTTTTAAAGTGTTCATTTTGTGCAGCTTGTCTCCCTGGGTGGTGTTACTCGGGTGAAGTCAGGTTCCCCATTTGGGTGTTCAGTTTACACTGTGTTAATGCACATTAGTAGTACTCCCTCTACTCCTTCTGCTTTTCTGACAAATGTCTAAGCAATGGAAACTGTATCTTGCACGCTGTAAGATAAAACTTGGAAGTTGGAGTGCTTTTTTCCTCTGTTGCCCTTGAAACTGCAAAATTGATATGTCGTTTGTTTGGACTTAAATTTTTTTTGCCAATGCTTGCTTAATGATGTTGAGCTTAATACCCAGAGAACACCGCATTTGGAGAAAGTGTTTGTTAGAGATGCCTATCAGATTGGCACCAATAAAAGGGGAAATTACATTATCAGCTCTTGGCCTTTTTCTTGGCATTGTAGCTGATAATGGTTACCAATTATTACGTCTCCTGGCCAGGGTCCTGGACACCTGGGTTCTCTCTCCTCTGTGGGGCCGGGGCCCCCAGATGCCTGGGTTCCCTCGGGAAATGGCAGGTTTCCCTTGCAGCTGGGCCACATTTTAGCCCTTTAAGACAGGGCTTGACAATCACCTTGCTGGGGTTGTTTGACCCCAGTACTCTTTCCTGCCATGGCAGGGGGGTGGACTTAATGATCTGCTCAGGTCCCTTCCGACCCTTCTAACTATGAAACTATGAAAACCTAGCCTTTTATTTGGGTTTTAGTGCAAACTGTCTAGTGTCCAAGATGAAAAAACCCCAGGCCTGTTTATGGGGCATGAAGGATGCACTAGTTCTGGGCTTAGCTCCCTCAGCTTAGTGTGTGGGTTATAGCCAGGCTCAGCTTTTACCTTTGGTAGAAATGTTCCCTCTCTGCAGTGAGGTCACAGGCTAAGTAGCTGAAATTTTGATATTCCTCCAGTGCCATTTCACTTTTCTCTTTGAAGAATAGATGGGTTCTCCCATGGTGATGAGGAAAGACTCTTCCAGTGTCTCGACACAGAGAGAAAGTAGGGTAGGTTTGGTTTGCACCTTATAGGCTAACTAAATCAGAGATGCGTAAGCTTTTGAGAACAGCAGCATCTGATGGTGAAGCTGATGCAGTGTCTGATGAAGTAAGCCTCCACTTATGACAATGTATGCATTTCTGATTTAGTTAGCATCTAACGTGCAAATCTACCCTACCTTCTGCCTGACTTCAGAGTAACACAACACAAGAGTCATGAGAAATGTCTTGGATGACTATTGAACCAAGGAGTATACACAGAAATAGGTGTGTTTTGCAGTGGGATCACAGTACTTTGGTGTTCAGAATCGGGTACAAGTACCTGAACAGACTGAAGAAGCGAAGACACCATTATTGGAGATCTTGTCTAAATGGCATTTTTACTGCTTTAATTGTAGTGACATATGTAACTCAGTCAAACTGGTATGAAAGTGCTTATACATGGAGAACAGCACCCATGTTAGGAGTTGCATGGTAGAACTGCTTCTAATCAAGAATTACAGTGGCAGAAGAGTGGTCTGCAGGCCGTACCTACCAGAACTTCCAGTAGCAAATTGGAAAAGTGTCTGAGATGGCAGAGTTCTCATGTCTGCTTGATTGCTTTACAGCTTGTGATTTGAGGCACATATTCCTCTTCATATGCATATGAGTCATGCA